GGGGTGGGGGGAGGTGCACATTGCTTCTCTTTCTCCACTCAGCCCCGCACCGGCTTGCAACCAACCTTATTTAGGCCTTCTCTCTCACCCATATTTATGGGGTGCGCATTGATTGAAACACTGATAAAATGGCACCATTTTCTTTGCATAGTGAATGAAAATACAAGTAAAGTAAAATAACAGTGTTTATTTAAATTAAGGTTATAGTCAAGTTTCATCAGTTAAGTAATTGGCAGTCAAATACTCTGTCCTGTCCATGACTCTAATAGCACAATTTGTTACGGCAATGTGTCCCACGTGGACATTTCTGGCAACTTGGTCCTTCTTCGTACGGTTTTTGTCCAATGTAATTGCCACTTAAAAGGAAAGGATGATGTATTATCATTTCATTAAATGAACATTCACTTTCCAATGGATTTTTTGACCAAAATCTTACCGGGGTGAATACTGACAAACATACACGTGTGCAGGCCGCGGGAGGTCAGGAAATTTATCATCACACTGCTTGACGGCACACCCAACACTGCTCGTATTAGCCCAAACAACCTAATTCGAAATCATTTTAATGCATTTTTGAGCAGAAAATATACACAGGCGTCAAACTAACTAACTTGAGTGTAATGGCCACACTTTTTACCTGGGGCACAGGAGTTATGCTGGAAGTCATAATCCTTCCTTTCGTTGGACCAATAGCGGATAACAAATTCAAAGTCGACAGATTCTTCACCAAAGGTGGCAGCAATATTTTGACCGGTGTTCTTGTACGTTGGGTCCTCCCTGCGAGGATGTGTGAGTGTACACTCTTCCGCCCAAGTTTCCGCCAAAGTTTCCATCTGGCCATTATATTTCTGCAGACATAGAAGACGTTATTGATGCGAAATGTGCATTATAAATGTTAAATTGTCAAAAATTACCAGCTCCCGCATATTTGACGCTGTAGGACACTCCTGCGTGCTTCATTATGAGTATTTAGAATCTTTGTAACCTCGCTTGGCTGTGCTTTTCGAGCATAGAGAGGGTAGAAATAAGCCAGCAAGATGATTACTTTTAGCATAGTTCAATCTCAACGTCTGAGGCGGTGTGCGATGACTCTTATATACTGTTTTTCAATCCAATGGCAGCTTTCTGCAAAATTATTTGCTCCAATCACGCGCATTGTCATGTCATGACTATTTGCATTTAGATAGATTAAAGCGTTTGGAACAAGTTGCAGATAGGTAAAACTCTTTGGCCATGAGTATGTAATTTTAAAATAGTAAATCACTTTATTTCGAAATATTTGGCAATATTCACTTCTCACGGACGTTTTACTGTCTCAGTGATGTGGTAGTAATTTTGATGCCATCGGACTGGGTTGGTAAATTGGGAGAGTTATAACGCCAGCATTCTGAGAGGTGATCAGGCTATGAAGCTGGGCATTTCTCCATGTCTACCCTCCTCTGATTTGAGAAAGTCATTTGAAACAAAACTGTGTTTTACCAAAATTAAGCTAAGTAATTTGTTTGTCCGGTATTCAAAAAAATTCACTTAAGCACCTTTGACATCTTCCAATATTGACTCTCTTGAGTCTCTAACCCCGAATTCAACAAATTTACGTAAATAGTAACAAATTTAAAAGTAAGAAGTATTCAATCAAATTGAAACGGCATCAGTTCTAAGGAATAATTAGGAGTGAGTCGGTTGTGCTAAGTGTGATTAGATTGGGCAAAGGAAATCTATCTCAATGGATGACATAACTTAGTAATCAGACGTCCGCTTTAATTTGCGGTATATTATTTTATCACTATATGAACCTTGGTCAGTTGAGATAGAAGATTCATTTGTCTTTAACGGCAATTTCAATCTCCATTCGTACTTGCAACGAATGATTTGAGATACATTAATTTCTCGAGGTTCTAAAGGAAAATCGACACTGGAAGTGATGTCGAGTAAATTATTTAATTTTCCCAAATGTTTAGTCATTGGTGTAGATATGTAGAATTCCAGGCACAATTGAATGCTCATCAAGGATGCAGATACAAGAACAACAGCAGGACTTCCATCCCTAATCTGGTATTAATAGTTACCCCATTTATTTCTCTGTTTTCGGGGTGTGCGATAGACTTACCTCCTCGTGGTGCACCCTGGACAACGTATGCTCATGCGACTAAAGTCTATAAACAGAGAGTTGACCTCTGACTTCAATCTACTATGACCCCACTGAATGTCATGGTCGACCGCTTCCACAGTTCTCACCTTACATTTTCTCTGCCTTTGTGTCTCTCTGTCTATCTTACATCTATGGATCTCTGTTCCGTAATCCCCCCCTCACACTTAAATTTTTCTCACTTTGATGTTTCTCTCTCTCTGAAATCCCAAGTCATCTAATGGGCTAATGTTAGCTATCAAAATGCCTCCCATTTGAAATAAATCATCAAATAAATTCTTTATATTCGAACACTAGCTCTTTTATCTTGCAGAAAATTCGGTTTCAAAGTGCATGAGTGAACTGTTGTATCACCACATACACAAGGTGTGTCCATTTGACAAACTTAGAAGGTGTTTATTGTACACTACGGAGAAACTTACTAATAAATAAACTGAATTCAAATACGAAATGGTTTTAACTATTGGCATTATTTGTCAATTTTAACAAAAATAGATAACTTAATAATACGAGTACCTATAAAGATGCTACTATTAATGCATGCTATTATTCAATAATATAATCTTGCGATATGACTGTTTGAATGGTGAAATGACGATAAAACCTATTTTAAGTGCATGCACTGAAAGTAAAATGATGATTGTCACTTTCTTTAATAAAATAAAACCAAGATAATTTTTATCTCTTGTGTGTATTTCTGATTCTTATATTAATAAAGTGACTGAAATATTATTAGCCTTCAGCAGAAATTAAATCAAATGTTGTATTCAACAATTCTTATGCTTAATATAATTATGAAAAGTTGCCCTGAAAATATACTTCTTATTATAAAACAAAATGAAGCAATTGCAATGTGTGATAAGGTATCGATGATTGCGGAATCCATTATTTCTGTCTCCAGACAAAATTATTACCGAGTGTCGATAGGTCTCCACTTAGGGTGAATAAGGTGTAACGCAAAAGGTTTCGTCTGATAATTGTTGTTTACCTCTCATTGGTAACGAAAAATTATCAAATAATTGAGATGCAATTAGATTTCAATTTTGTGATACTGACAGAATCATTTACACTGACCAATTTTAGTTTTGGAAATAGGCACCCTGTGGTTTCAAAATTACCAAGTCTTGTCTCTGTCCATTTCGGCTGCAGACGTGACCTGAGTATATGCTGCTAGACAAATACTGACAGATTATGAGGTTTCTAACATTGTTAAGCATACTCTTTCAGATTTTATGTTTTTGTTTTCATTTAAGCTTCAATACGGTCCTTCTCAGAGTCGAAAATTCAGCAAAGAACCACCTTTGATAGTTCTACATGATTTAAAAATCAGCTGACATGCCAGGTGAAACGATGATGTTTTCGCATCGGAAGGAAGTAAGTTAGCTCATGCTGACTGAGTGGAATGTCTTCGCCTATCCGATAAACAAATATTATAGAAGCTCAATAATTGGCAATTATTGAATCACCAATGTGACTTTAGCTTGAAGATATGAAGAACATAATGATGGAACTCAATGGACTTATCTTGCACCAAGGGAAAGTGTGAGGTGATGTATGGAAATTTATGAGAGGTCAACAATCTACATGCATGTGCTTGATGATTCGACACTGGCAATAGACGGCAAATTGAAACAACGAGAGCTCACAAAATGGTCGAAGAGATGAATGAAGAGACTGATCTCTTAAGGTTGCGTCGTAGGCAGAACTGAGCACTTGAGTTAATTTCAGTGCATAAGGCTCCATTAATGTAAGTGCTGTTTTCTTATTCCCAATAAACACGTATAAATAGTCTTTTAGCCCAATCAACGTTCATGAATAAATTTACCAACTTACGAGAAACGCTATAGTTTGGGGGGAACACTGATATGAACTATTTGATTTGAGGAATTTCTATTTGTTCTGTACTAATTTCCTCATATTCAGAAATAATCACATTGACATGTCAATCCTCATGCCAAATTCCAAGAGCCTTCTGATTTCTAACCAATTTTTTAAACTCCTTATAAGTCCTTGTGATTGCCATTGTCAAGCTGAGTACTGTAATTAAAATTTCGTCGTACTTTCGTATGAATCACGATTGTGGCTAACTTCTTTTAACCTCAATAACTATTAGGTTGGCAACTAAGTCATCGCCGATTTCAAATAAGAAGGCAAATTCGGAATTTTTGTTTAAAAATATAACTTTATTCAATTATCATGCGATATCATGATGGAAAACAACACCCTTCCTCCGATTTGATAATGCCGGCCGCTTATCTTCAATTGCATCCTTCCGTTTTTCGAGTTGTTCAACATACACATTTGAATTTATCGTTTGGTTCCTCGGCATGAGTTCAAAATACAAAATTCCTTTGTGATCCCCCCACCAGACTGACAGCATAATCTTTTTTTACTGAATCTCTGCTTTTGATACTGTTTGGGCTGGTTGATCTTGCTTCACCCATGATCTCTTGCGAGTAACATTCTTATAAACTATCCACTTTTCGTCGCCAGTAACTAGGTTCTTCAGAAATGGATCATTCTCATTGCGTTCAGTAGCGGCGAATCACAGATGCTAATCCGTTGCGTCAAATGAATTTCCGTTAACTGGTGAGGGATCCATAAATCAAGTTTCTTGACATAACCAAGGGTTTTTCATCTTTTTCAATGCATGTATGCGACACATTGAGCTTCTCTGCAATATCATCTCGTGTTGTGCTGTGACGATTTGAATCGATAATGGCCTTGATATGGGTTTCATCCACTTCGACTGGGCGGCCAGATCGTTGTGAATTTTTGAGTGAAAAATCACCGGAACGAAATCTTTCAAACCAATTTCGACACTGCCTTTCTTTTAAGACTTCATCTCCATATACGGCACATAACTTCTTTTGTGATTGCGATGCGTTCTTGCCTTTTCGGGAGTAATGCAATAAAATGTGTCGGAAGTGCACGTCCTGTTTTTTCATTTTTAAATTGGGATAAAAACAAAACTAAAGAACTAAACAAAAAAGTTTTTTACTAATTAACCTAGAAGCCCATACAGTAAGAAAAAAATATAGGTTAGATGCTCTGGCCACGTTAACAAAACAAAAGAAAGTATAGAGTGAATCCGTCAACAAAAACGGCAATGACTTAGTTGCCTACCCAATAGATGCTGTGAATCGAAGAAAGCTTGCATCAATGTAAATCAAAGTAATCGTTTTTGAGATTAGTTTATGTGCAATAAAATTTGATGTTTGTTAATTTGAGTTACTTACTGCAAATTTTGTTGAACATTTACATTTAGGACTGCTCTTAGTAATTCTGTCAACCATTACAATAATAAGAAACGCGCATGGGACTTATTTATGTTATAGAATAAAAATACTAATTAATGGTCCATATAAAATTAGAAATCAAAATGTTCAAAGCAGTTAAATTACCTTCGCTTTCACTTACTCATAGAACAAGTCAATCATCATTTTCATCGCTGAGTGTGCATTTCAAAGTAGACATTATGTTCTTGGAGCCTCAAATCTCCATTTTTCAATTTTATATCCTGGAAACTGCATGTATTCATGTTACCGTCTATTCGTCCAGTCCAAGGATTAAATTATATGCCCAGTCTAGGCTGTTTTTCAATAAAATTTGAGTTAGTAACGTCATAATCAGTCTTACTGCATTCGTAAAATAGACAGGCACAAATTGTTTTTGAGGCAAAATTCG